ACACACACACACACACACACACACACACACACAACCACACACACACACACACACACACCCTTGCTCTGGGAAAATAAATGCGCTCATAGTTTAAACCAGACTCTCAAGGGATTCTTGACATAAAAACAAACAAACAAAAATGATTTAAAATCTTCTACTCCAGAGTTTTTTATAATCTTATCGTTGTGGCTTACCAGTTTTTAGAGGGTGAATAAGTATGTATCTCATCAAAGAATCTCTCTGGCTGGTGTAGGGGATAAGGGCTTGGCCGTGTCCAGCCACCAAACAGCACCAACAAGTCCTTATACACGACCAGAGTTGCTCCAGCTTTGGGAGAAGGATAGGATCCTGGGAGAAGTCAACAACACCACAGTTAGGATTCAGGTTCACAACCAGCTATAGGGACCGCCCCCCACCTCAAGGCTCACAGAGCCAGAGCCTCGGGCAAGCAGGAGGGAGCAGGCCTTCAAGGCTCCAACAAAACGGGAGGCACGGCACCAAGAAGAGTGGCTGCCGAGGGCCTCCAGCTGGATCTCTGCGCTACACCGGCCACATCTTGGGGAAAACCCAGACACGTGCTGCAAAACTACAGGGACCACAAATGTGCCAGAAGAGCCTGTCTTTGACCAAGGCAACTGCATTTCCCCCAGTCTCTTACTCTGCACATCACCTTTAATTTGCTCAGGACCACGGCAATTTGTTTTAATACCAAGGTGTCAGTACATAGTGGACTAATAAAATTGTTGTTAAAACTGCATAATCTATTTTTCAAAGGAAATCTTAAGCTGAAGAAATCCCAACTCTGGATTCATCTGACAGTGGCTGAGGCGCCCTGGTTTAACTGGACAGCCTGGCATCCTCTCATCTGGAACAAGGGGTAATGGGAACACGGGGTGAAAAGCTTTGCTCAGATGGCTTTAATGGGCAGAGTCAGGAGAGCAAAAGGTGGGTGTCTTCCTACTGATCTACTCAGAACTCATTCAGAAATCATCTAATCAGGGTAATCTGCTTTATTGGCAAAATACCCATCCTCAGAATACCGCTGAATACCTAAGAAAGAACACGTGGCACCCACTATTGTGAACAGCTGCCCTGTAGAGCAGACTGATCCAGACAGGGTCTGGCCATGGAGATGAGCGTTCTCCAGGCACTGTCTTTGTGTCACTCAACACACAGAGACCATCTGGAGGGAGACCACGAGTCTGCTTTCTCTCTCTCGTACCCTATTCCACAAGACTCATGACCACGGGTCTACTCATGAGCTGTTGTCCGCATGGAGCTGGGATTTCTGGTTCAAGCAGCCTACCATGGAAAAGCCTCCTTGCCCACTGGAAAAGTTTGACAAAATGCTCTGGTTAAAATGCTGCTGTCATCCAAAATAATCTAAATGCCAACTCACCTTCAAGTTTTTGCCTCTAACTTGGAATTCAAAAGTGCTGTGAAACATTTTAAAAAAACAAAAAACAAGCATATATATATAGACTACACACATGCAAGGGGTGGGAGGGCTTCAAAAGTTCATGGGGAAAAAATCCATTTTTCATGGACATGTACTAAGAAAGAGAGAGATCTGTAGAATAAACCTAAACGTTCCAGACTGGCAATATGGACTTAAAACATTTATCTTTAGTTTTCAAAAGCCAGTGTATGAAGTAGCCGATCAAGGGTCTCCGAAACAGCCATTTCTGTGAATAAATCACCAGAGTTTTAAAAGTAAACTGGGTGGTTGGCATAAAACTTTTTATAGTGCATATGCTTTGAGCCAGTAATTCCATTTGTAGGGATTAATTCTAATAAGATAACAGGATACTCATTTGCAATGTCTAAAAAATAGTTACCAGTTGATGGGCATTTTACTGAAAGTATTGTTTATACATAATAACTCACTCAAACCTTTCAAAACTCCCCCAGAGCAGGCGTTTTCTAATCCCATGTTATGGAAGAGGAAACTGAGGCACAGAGTAATCATGTTCATTTCCTCCAAGCCACATTTCCAGTCGGTGGCAGAGAAGGAATCTGAATTTAGATAAACTGAACTCATTCAGAAATCATCTATTTTTCCCGAGTATGATCTTATACAAAGAAGAAAATCTGGAAGATCAATTACCACCGAGCTCTCTGGGTAAGATTAGTGGTGACTTTCATTTCCTTCTCTATTAAAAAAATTTCTGTATTGGCTGAAGTTTACAAAAGGTGATGCCCTGCCCAGTTTGGAGGAAAATGGCCATTTCAGTTTTTAAAAACAATAAATGCTCTCCCCTTTATGAGTGCCAGTGTGACAAAATGTCTTTTTAACCTTTTATTTAAAAATTTATTTAAAATTTATTTAAAATTTCGAAATACCAAAGCTTTAAAAACTGGCGTTTTGGGTGACAAAACCTGTCCTGAAACAATGATCTTCTCAATAGTCGCTTGATTCAATATTGTGACTATTTGTATGTTTTGCTACAAAAACATCATTACATTTGAGTAGAGAGTGCTGCCCCAGGCTTACCAGAGGTATTATCAAAGAACATGTAATGTATTCACATTCTAAAGCCTGAAAATTTCTGGATTCCAAATCAGAATTAGCACCACAGGTTTACTAGGAGCAACCAGGGTTAAGGACTTAAGATCTAGAGTCAGCCTATTGGATCAGATCCAAGGCCTGTCATTTAAATAGCTGTGAAACTCAGACCAGTTACCAAACCTCTCCCTGCCTGTTTCCTTACCTACAAAATGGAATAACAATAGCACCTGCCTCATAGGCTGGTGGTGAAGAACAAAGGAGTCATATCCTGTGTGAGCCATTGAGGACCATGCTCAGTATTGTCAAGGCAAAGTACCATGGACTTTCATGCAAGATCATTTAGTGACAGATAGCAGGCATGCCACGATGATATTGTAGGTTTGGTTCCAGGTCACAGCAATAAAGCTAATATTAAAAAAAAAGTCATATGACGTTCTGTTATTTTTTGTGGGGGTGGTGGTGGTGGTGGAGGGGGGATGGGATTTCCCCAGTGCATATAAAAGTTATATTTTACACTATAGTCTACCAAGCACTCCTGGCGGCAAAGTGGTTATGTGTTGGGCAGTGATCCACAAAGTCTTTAGAAAGACAGGCTTTCTACTCCCATAAAGAGTTATAGTCCTAGAAACTCATGGGGGTGGGGGGGGCAGTTCTACCCTGCCCTATAATGGTCTCGATATTAGTCGGTGTGTTAGTCTGGGTACTTTAGAGAAACAAATCCACAGAAACTAATATATAAGACAGAGTTTTATGTAAAGGTTAAGTGCACATCAAGAAAACATCCCAACCCAGTGCTGTCCAAGCCCACAAGTCCCACATTAACCCATTAACCCATATGTCCAACACCAGTCCACAAAGTCCTCCATCCCATAAAATAGACATGATGCTGACTGCAGGAGGCAAACCAAGCAGTGAATGTGTAAGCATCTCAGCGCTGGCAGGGGTCTCCACACGGCTGCTCCAGCACCCAGGGCTGCATCGGGTAGGTCCATGTGGCTTCTCCTTGGGGATGTCTTGCAGGAACTCAGCCTTGCAAGCTGAATCAGGGAACTGCTAAGGCAGCTGCACCCTGCTCCGACCATTACAAAGCAAGAGACCCAAGAACTAGAAAGGAAAGGCTCAGTGAGCCGTTTATCCATCCACCCTTCAATGAACCCCACTTGGTTTATCGGCCAGGTTGGCACAATAAACTAACTCAGTCGGTATCGACTCTTTGGTTTGTTGTTGTTGTTGTTTTGGCAGTCTATTAAATGTGAAATAGCATAAGAAAGCTTGGAAAATTGTGAGAACTACCATAACATTAACAGAGACACCAAGTGAGCACAGGTGGTTGGAGAAATGGCAGTGACAGACTTGCTCAATGGTAGAGTTGCACAAACCTTCAAACTGTAAATCAGCATGTTGTTGGAGAAGCGCACTAAAGCAAAGCACAATACAAGGGAATGCTTGTAGCCAACAGATTGTTACCTGCGTGGAGTGAAATTTATGAGGGCAGCACTGAACCAGTGGACATATAATGAATACTGCTATATAGCTAAGGTATTTCCTAGCAGAGTGGCTACTTGATTCAAGAAAGGAAACAACCCGAGAAATAAAATGAGACTAACAATAGGTGGCATGAAAGGAAGCTGTCCCAAGTCCAAGTTTAGTGGCTCTTACTTATTTACTATCTGCTTCCTGGACATCTTTTGAAATGAAAAGATCAATACTTCACGAGTAAAGGCAGGCCATGATTTCATTTACCAGTTCTCTGTTTAAAGAGATTACAAGTATACCATGGAGATATAAATCACTTACAGGGGAAAAAACTATCATAGAGTTCAAGAAAAGTACTGGTGAGACATAAGGACACATATAACCAAACCACAGGAAAGATGATGACTACATTAAGAATAGTCCCCATTACAACACCTGGCTCCACTTCCATGCTGCTGCTGCTGCTGCTGCTGCTAGGTGCCACTGAGTCGGTTCTGACCCAAAGCAGCCCTATGCACAACAGAACGCAACAGTGCACTGTCCTGCGCCAGCCTCAAGATTACTCTAAGGTGACCGGACGTCCCACTTTTGGCAGGACAGTCCCGACTTTTAACAATTTTTCCCTAGAGGAAAGAGCTGGGAGGCAAAGGGAATTCATAGAGGTCTAGATAACGACATGTACATATGAAAATATATTTATATGAGGATGGGG